AATTCCTCTAGGAAGACACATGAAATGAAAACCAGCTGAGGAAGTGTCTAATTCCACTCTGCAAGGGCCTGATTCATACTAAATTAAGCAACTTCTGCACATCAGAGACTGATACGAGGTTCCCAGAAGCCCCACTTGTTTGGTGTAAAAGAAGAGATTACTGTTGAACTGGGGCTTAAATTTGCTAATTCCTCTGTCTATCATTTCAGTCGCTTTCCATCTGTTTCTTTATGCCTGGGTCACATTCATATCTGAAAGCAGCAGGGGAACCAGAGACTCTCTAGGATTTGATGAGAGTAAGGAATCTGCCCAAGTGAAGAGTGTACTGTTTGCAGCATTGCAGCATGGAAAAAAAAGCACATTTAAAGAGCAAAAATGTGCCTGGTGTGTCATTGCACTACATAGACACTGTCTTCTACCTTAAAAATGTGAAAATGCTCAGCATTCAAAACAGGATGTAATTGCAGAACAATTACATTGTCTCAGTTTGGTTTTGGTTTTTGCATGGCTCAGATATAAATTGGCAGGGCAACACTGCATAACAGAGACATGACTGTGCACACCAACAAGAGCCTATTTCCTGTAGAAACAAGCACGGTGCCCTTGGATGACATTCTTTCATCCAGTAGTGCACAATTCAGACTCCTAGGTTTGAAATATTGTATCCACATTTCAGGTTGGATAAGGATCCAGATGTGGAAACTCTACAGTGACTGTTTGATGCAGGGGCAAGAGAGAATCTCAAATGCAGTGTTATTGTTGGTTGCTGGTCCACCACTACCCCACTCTCTCTGCTATTTGGAGTCACTCTCTGTCAAGAGTGGCCTGAGGGGGTCTGTGGCAGCTGGCACCCCAGGCGGAATGTGCAATCGGTGCCCCCACCTGCACAGCCGTCAATGGAGTGACATCATCATCGGACACCTCGGGCGCCCCGTGACACCATCGGGCACCCCGGGCGCCCCGTGATACCATCGGGCACCCCGGGTGCCCTGTTGAAGGTGGCACCTTAGGCGATGGTCGAGTCGGCCTATGGTCATGGGCCACCCCTGCTCTCTCTCCTTTTACCTGTGGTTGGATTTTATCCTGTTTGTTTTAATTTCAGTTATCCTGCTGCAGTAGCAAGTTAAAATGAACTAACGGAGTTATACAACACAGCTTGTTGGGTGATGGAGAAATTAACGAATGGATAGTCATTGAGAGTTGATATAAAACCACATCGCTTTTGTTTGTGCTGCACTTTGGGCAGAGATAGCAGGTTTGCAGACATTTTGGTGGTGAGGGGCCCACAATCCCCAGAGTCCACATCCCGCCCCTACTCAAACTCCCTTCCTCAGCCTTGCCTAAGGCTCTGAGAGGGAGTTTGGGTGCAGGGTCTGAACTGAGGTGGAGGATTGGGGTGCAGGGTGCAAGCTCTGGAAGGGAACTTGGGAGCAGGAAGAGTGAGGGATCGGGCTCTGGGCTGGAGGCTGGGTGTAGGCACTGGCCGGAGCAGGGGATGGGGTACAGGAGGGAGTGAAGGGTGCAGGCTCTGGGCGGGAGTTTGGGAGCTGGTGGGAGACTGCGGTGCATTTTAAATTGCCTGTGGGGTGACACTGGGGGAGTGTATGACAGTGGCAAGCAGGGCTGGGAAAGAGATCCTGCCCTGAACTTTGATGGAGCAGGGTCCACAGGCCAGGAATATTCCTTGTGCCTGGGCACAACTTACTGATTACTGCTTTGTTGAGAGAGTAAATCCCAGGAAGCACTTCAGATAACCTGGAATATAGGGTTGCCATTTAGTTAGCCAGCTGAAGGAGTAATCCCTTTTGCAATGATTTATAGAATACAGTGAGTATATGAAGCACTTTACCAATACATCAAAGAGTGGTTCCTTGAAATCTGTTCTAAGACATTATTTAAAACCGAAGTATATATGGGTATGTCTACACTACCCCGCTAGTTCGAACTAGCAGGGTAATGTAGGCATACCGCACTTGCAAATGAAGCCCGGGATTTGAATTTCCCGGGCTTCATTTGCATAAGCCGGGCGCCGCCATTTTTAAATCCCGGCTGGTTTGAACCCCGTGCCGCGCGGCTACACGCGGCACGAACTAGGTAGTTCGAACTAGGCTTCCTAGTTCGAACTACTGTTACTCCTCATTCCACGAGGAGTAAAGGTAGTTCGAACTAGGAAGCCTAGTTCGAACTACCTAGTTCGTGCCGCGTGTAGCCGCGCGGCACGGGGTTCGAACCAGCCGGGATTTAAAAATGGCGGCGCCCGGCTTATACAAATGTATGCAAATGAAGCCCGGGAAATTCAAATCTCGGGCTTCATTTGCAAGTGCGGTATGCCTACATTACCCCGCTAGTTCGAACTAGCGAGGTAGTGTAGACATACCCTCAGGGTGCAGACATTCTGTCAAGGAGAATAACATCAGAAGGCTTTGTGAGATAGTGTCAAACATCAGGAGTGTATTTGAAGGATTGATTGTAAGGATGAAAAAGGGAGGCTACTTGCTTCAGAAGCAGAGGAAGGCAGTTCCTTTACAGATCAATGTGGCAGTTTACATCTAGTGAAGGATATAAGTTTAAATCTCACAAAACATGCAGTCCTTGCCTCAAGGAGCTGGCTGTCCAAAGACACACATACATACTGTATGTAGCATACTTACACAAGACAAGGAGCATTGATAGCTGTCTAGTTCTCATGGCATTCTATATATTACCACATTTGGGTCAAAAGTCTAAGACGCCCTGAAGCATAGCCTCTTGGGAATGACTCTTCAATTTGTAATTAAACTGTTCAGAAATAATCCATATCTCCACAAACAGCATGCAGGTAGGTAGGTGGAGGTCATGGTTCATGCATAAATAAGAGCAGAATATCGCCCACTGGCTTTTAAAACATGCCTAAATTGTGATGCATAATTCATTTGCTGGTGAACTTTTTGATAATAAATCAGTTGAGGCTTTCAACCTAATAAGAACTCGGTTCAAAGAGAATGTTCATAGCTAGAGATGTCTACAATATTTTCCCACATTGCAAACAAGAAAGGCAGTTAGAAATTGTTGGGACTTATGGGGAAAGGGAGAAAGAAACTGAAGCTGCACTTAATTGGACAAGAAATAAGATCAGAGCTGGATGAGGTATTTATTGTAAACAATATATTTATTGGCTCTGTGTTTGTTTTATATTCACGAATTGTCCATAAACAGATTGGGATTTGTATTAACTTGTTTGTTCATAATATTTTTCCAAACAGTGTTCATGAACATACAATATATGTGCCCCTGGTTTATATGAAAACTGTCTTAAGTTTTTTCAGATATTCAGTATTGAGAATTTAGTCATGCGATTGCTCATATAAATTACATAGTACTACAGGTAGTTCTCTTCTCTGATGGGATGAATTTAGTTGTATGAACAGGAGTGTTTCCTGAAGCAGTCACTGGGGTATTGTGTATTCAGGGGAAGAATTTAACTGAATTGGACACAATCAATTTTTAGGAATATTATCTTTTATGTTTTTTCCAGCTAAACTTTTTTCTGCTAGAATCTCTGTCTTCTGAAACTGCATCATTCATGTCTTATGTAATAAAATAGTTCAGATTAAAGAGATTAACTTAATAATGGTTATTGGTAATGGAAACTAGCTAACTAGACTGAGTAGAATAATAGGATAAGGGATTGAGTCCCTTAGGAGTTTGATGCTTCTTATTCTCTATTGTTTCTGTGCTCCTGAGTTCACAGGCTGACAAATGACGAGGCTAACCATCCGGTTAACATTAGCTGTAGGAGTCTTATAGACTTGAAAGCCAGAAGGAACATCATGATCATCTTGTGTGACCTCCAGCAGATTGCAGGCAACAGAACCCACTCCTAACCTCTGGCTGAGTTACTGACATCCTCAAGTCATTATTTAAAGAATTCAAATTATTAGAGAACCCACCATTTGCTCTAGTTCAAAACAGCAAGTGACATTCCTAAAAATCAATTTGGCAAAATATTATGAACAAACAAGTTAATACAAATCCCAATCTGTTTGTGGACAATTCATGAACAGAAAACAAGGACAGAGCCAATAAATATATTGTTCACAATGAACAATTCATCCGGCTCTGCTCCTATTTCTTGTCCAATTAAGTGCAGCTTCAGATTCTTTCTTTCTCTCCCTTTAATCCCCAACAATTTCTAATTGCCTACATTGTTCTGAAGGTGAAAGCTGCCCAGAGATCCTGCCACTGTGACTTAGGAGGAAATTCCTTCCCAATCCCAAGTATAGTGATTGGTTAGACCTTGATCATGTGGGTGAGACCCTGACACCAGATAGACACCAAGAAAGAATTCTCTGCAATAACTCAGAGCCCTTCCCATCTACTGTCCCATCTCTAGCTATTAGAGATCTTTGCTACTAGCAGTTGTGGATGAGCCATATAACGCTCATTCTGTGGGGGAGGGCTAATTCAGTGGTTTGGGCCTGCTAAACCCAGGGTTGTGAGGCCAATTCTTGAGGCGGCCAAAGCCCTGGCTGGGTTGATTTAGTTGGGATTGGCCCGGCCTAGAGCAGGGGGCTGGACTTGATGACCTCCTGAGGTCTCTTCCAGCTCTATGGTTCTATGATTCATTTAGGGATCTGGGGCAAATGGGTCAGGGATGGTACTTGGTCTTGTCGTGAGGGCAGGGGACTAGACTCAATGATCTCTCAAGATACCTTCCAGTTCTATGAGATAGGTATATCTCCATATATATTATGTTCTACAATCCTCCATACATTTATCAAGTTTAGTCTTGAAATAAGTTATATTTGTTGTATATAAGTCATTTTTTGAGGAGTAATGTTAGTTCGAACCAAGGGCTTTGGTTTGCACTAATGCATCCTGGTGCGCACTTCCTGGTTTGAATCAGCTGTGATTCAAACTAGCGCGCTGGCGAGATCATGCTACTGGAGCATGGGATATTTAAATCCTGGCTTCATTAGCTACTTTGCTCATTTGCATTTGCATCCCTAGTCCGAACTAGGGAGCAAATGTAGACGTATCCATAGATAGTTGCTGTCTCTTTCTCCCTTTGTCTTTTCACACCTTTTAAATTTGACAATTCACAGGCACTGTTATATCATTACTCCCTTATCTTCTTAAAAGACGATTCTCTAATCTCTAAGACTTTGTCTACACTATGCGGTGGATTGAAGCTACTATGATCAATCTACTAGCCATCTATTTATTGCATGTTTAGATACAATAAATTGATCTCCAAGCACACGCTCATCGATGCTGGTACTCCACCAAGATGAGAAGAGTAGTCAACAGGAGAGCAGTTCATCACATGCAAGACGCCACAGTGAGTATGTTGATTTCAGCTGTGCTATTTGTGTAGCTGAAGTAGTAGATCGATCATGTTGGTAAGTGTAGACAAGGTCTAAGACTGCTGCCTCATAGTTTATTGACTCACTATCTCTTCTTTGTCTCGCTCAGCTGTGCTTGTATGGCTCTCTTTCCTGTTTCAGTGTAGCTTATAATGCTAAATAAAAAACGTGATGCAATCTTTCTCTCTGTTTCTGGTCTCCTGAGTGCTGACGTAATTCAATCTCTTTTTATATAAAATCACAGGTTTCCATTTGCACATATCAGTTTTAGCATCACGGATGCAGTTCTTTGTTCTAGTTCTTTAGTTCTGTGCATCTAACCTAGCTATTATCTGGGCTAGTGTTTTTTGTATGTTGGGCTAACCCTCCCTTTTCATGTGCGGTTATTTCTTCAAGCATTCCCATTTGTTACAGATTTATAAATTCCCTTGATGTGAAACACTGCTGTGGGACTTCCTGTCAGCCAGTCCCCAATGAAAGCCAGATGTCCCTCCCTCATCAGAAGTAGCGTTCTGTTAGCAGCTGAGTTTGATAGCTTACAAGCCTAAGTGCTCTTTGGGCACACTGTAGGACGGGTTGGCAATGTATGGCACACGTGCCATAAGTGGCATGTGAGCCAATTTTGAGTGGCACATGGTCTGGCTGGTGGGGCTGCGTGGCCAGTGGCTGCTCCATATTCTGT